TCAGTTTTGTAAAGTATGATTAAAAAATACTGTGGTTTATCAACAAACTTAGCAGATCCTATCTCGTGTACTTCCTTTCAAAGACCATATTAGAAAGCTGTGTATTTCAGTAGGACTACTATTGCTCAAAACACTTGTGTTTCTCTTTGTGAAGTGGGTTTCAGAGCCTCAGGTATCTTATTTTATAAAACCCATAGTGCCAATTCATAATCCTTTGAGGGATGCTAGATTTATTGAGTCAACTTTATCATGCATAGCCATATGATAAAGGTAAGTAACCCATTTAGATAAAACAGATTTGGGGGGGGGAAGAAATAGATAAGACTTTTTAAAAAAAATTTTTATAGACTTAACCCAACCAAATATGCTGGACTATTTAGAGAAATATAATTCTGTAGGAATATGTTTATATTTCCTAAAGAGATTACTTTAGATCAGTCAGTACTCACACTAGGATTCTTATGTCCTACAATTTATTACAGAATCAAATGCTTTTAATTGTGTTCCTGTGTATCTGTACACATGCACAATCTAATAAACATGCATGTTCCAGGTTTTAGTTGAGAAATTTTAATTGTATAATGTCATATTGGAGACCATTCTTGGAGACATGACTATACTGATTGCAGCAGCTTTAGCAAACTAATGAACTGCATCTTTCAGTATAATAAATGGAAATTTTTAAAAAGGAGGGTCAGGGAATAGTTTTTCTGTGCTAAGGTAGAACATCTCTTCTCTTACACAGTAACGTGGCTAGCCTCTTATTTTCTAGAGAGAAAAGATTGGGTCGCTTTAAATCATAGCTTTAAAGAAATGATGTTCATTGTCATGTCATTAAACAAGCTCATGCAAATGAAAAAACTGAAGAGACTACATGAAACATCCTAACATAATACATTGTTGGAACAAGTGTTCTGTTATTATACTACTTTGCAAGCAGGGACACGAGAGGGTTGGTTTTAACAATTCTGAATAGCACAGATATTTAGTCTAATGAAATAACTGCCAGGCACAATAAATCTAAAACACATTTCAGATACAGGGAAATACTAGAGAATCTAATAGGAGCAACAATATTTTATTTTCAAACTTTGTTATTTCTAAGAAGATAAAGAAGAAAATAGGGCGTATACTAAAAGTGTTATACAGTTCTGTTTTATGGTTGTAAAACTTTTATTTTCATTTTTAGTTTGCAAAACAAGTCTTCCCATTATAAGCATACCATTCCTATCTGTTAATTATTTCATGATTATATTTCATTACCTAGTAGCATTATGTCATTGCAGATGGTTAGTAAACTTTGATGTGTCATTTTAAATCTATACTTGATATATATGTATATCACTCATACTTTTAAAAACTGAATTAATCCTAACATCTAGGTTTACTCACAAAATATACAGGTACCTTTTTTTAAAAGTGTTTTAATAAATCTGCTAGATGAATGAATGGATGGATGGATAGTTAGACCCACAGACAGGTTTCAATTTGTAAATATTCAAGTGGAAAAATGCTGAAAAAGATAATAAGTCTATTTTATTTCTTTTCTTTTTTCTTAAACAGGGAAGCCTATAGAAAACTTTTATCTCGCCTAGGACAGATGGGACAAGATGAGATGCAGAGACTGGAAAATGACAATACATATATTTTGTGATTCACCCTGTCTATTGCTTATCATCTAAAACTACTTTGAACTAATCCATCTCCTACTTTTAATTAATTATATAATGATCTGTTAAAAAATGCTTTCTGGGATTTTTTTCTTATATAAGTATAAAATATATAAATAAGGAAATAAAGATTAATTAGTAACTGTGTATTAGCATCCTTGGAGCTTTGCCAAACTATAATCTAGTTTGAAGAAATTTTGGTTAAACTAAATTAAAGAAGCCTTTTCTGGAAATGTTTTCTGTGTATGAGTACTATGCGGGTTTGTTCTGATACATCCATGGACTTTTTACTATAATGTGACTTCCTGTCTTGTGATTGATGTGTTTTGTGTGTGTGTGTGTGTGTGTG